CGAATTTTAGAGGAGACGGCGGACGGGAGACGAGAATGAGGGTTAGGATTACGTTTTATCATATCTTATATTAAATATGTAATTTATATTTTATAAATCTATAATAGTATATAAGTAATAGTAATATATTATTCTTAATATTTTTTTATATATTAAAATTTATAGGAAAGTTTTTTTTAAAATATGATAATTTATTTTTTAAAAAAATTTAATTATTTATAATTTATGAATATGTATTATGTATATTTATATATATTTATTTTCGAGCCAATTCGAGCCGAACACGAGCGAACAAACTTTTGTTCGTGTTCGGCTCGTTTACATTTCGAGCTTAAAATTTTGTTCGTGTTCGGCTCGTTAGGCTTTACGAACGAGCCGAACACGAGCTGCTTAACGAGCCGAACAAGAACTGTTCACGAATAATGAGCCAAATTGACAGCCCTAGTCAGCCCTAGTCGTCAGACGACTTAATATTATATTTTCTCTTTCAGGGGAGACTTGCCCTCGTCGTCAGATGACTTAATATTATATTTTCTCTTTCAGGGGAGACTTGTTCCAATTTTTCATAAATTTCACGAATCCCGAATTTATCATAAATTAGGTCGTTTTAAATTTACTCGATTTACTTTTTCTTCACCCCCATCATAAAATTCCGTTCTTTTTCCAAGCATCCTCCTCCCTGGTTACCTCGTTGCCTCAACGGTTCCTTCTTCGGTCTTTATGCCCATAAATCAAGTTGGAGAAGAGTCATTGTTTTGGAGGAAGATGCAGAGATCAGAAAGGGAAGGGGAGTTAATGAGCAGCGCGACAACGGCAAGAGGGATCCACCGGAGTCACAGATCAATGGTGGAGATCGACGGCCTTCCAACCTGCGATCCTGGATCCTTCCTCGGAAAGAAGGAGGCGAAGCGGATGCGTCTTGCTTTGATGATGGTTCACGCTTCTCCAATCGTTGTCTTCTCCTGCATCATTGTGCTGTGGTTCCTATCCAGTTAGCTTCTTCTCCTTCATTCTGTTTCTGGAATCGTTCTTTTTAAAGAAGCCATGATGCGGTTTCTTTTATTTTGTGTACGATAAAATCTTTAATTGTTTGATGAAGTAGAAGTACTGTTCTGAATAGGTGATTATCCCTGTACAGTCAGGTGCTAACTTGGTGATCCATGCCAAGTTTTTGGAGACATTTGTCTGATCGCCTTTTTAGGGTTTTGATTAGAGAATGATTAGGGTGAAATCTATTAAAAATAATGTAAATGAAACTAGATTTAAGCTACATGAACATTGCACAATGAAAGATAGACGATGCATCCACCGAATTAATATATACAATTAGTATCGGAATTGTGAAGGAGTAAACGTATGGTAACATGGATACAAGTTGTTTAAAATGATTTGTGAAGAATGAATTTAACACCTCATGTTGCACTCTCTAAAAATGGATGGAAAATGAGGATTCAGTGGGTGGACTTCAAAAAGTTGTGTAACTGATGATGATGATGATGTCATCTATAACATAAATTCATCTTGTCAAATCAGTAATACAGGGAGTAAGTTGGGCTAAATTCAGTCAACAATTATTAAGATAGATTTTGCATCGTTGGTTTAGGTGAGTTTATGGATTTATTTGGTTGGGATAAATTGATTGGAAAGAAAAGATAGCTTAAATAAAATTCAGAGGTAATGGATTTAACAAGAGAATAAAAAGAGAAATAAATATATGTTCTCGGGCCTGATGAAGACATTTTCTTATAGATGAGGCTGCCAATGTATATATGTTCTTCTTTTTATTCTCTTTTTAGGCCAAGCCTTCTGATCAGATTACTCATAATTGTTCTATTTATGAAGCCGATTGATCAAACTATACAAACAAAAGACTTGGGCTAAGTCCTTACTAGCGTAGATTATTTTTGAGTGTGAGTGTAATAGTATACTTAATATGATATTAGCTCCATATGAGCTTAGGTAATATCGGATCTATCACTTTCGTGAAACAATTGTGGAAGGTGAATGAGATTTGCTCTTAGCTTTTAGATGATATGTCTTATTTAAACATTTATAGGTTCTTATAATTTGAAATTTAGATTTTCTAGACATTTATTTAAAGTTAAGATTTACTTTCGACATGATTATTATCGAGGTATAATTGTTGGATTGTTTGAATTTTGAATTTATTAATTCATAAATTTTATCAACTCTAGTCTCTGTAAGGAGAAGGATCAACTCGATCATGTCAGAGCTCAGTCTTGTCAACTTTGGTTCTTATCGTGGGAGGATGAAATTGGTTTGAGTGGGTCTTATGACATTTTCTTATAGATAAGGTGGCATGTTTGAAAGTATGTGATATATATTTAATTCTGGTTATTTTGAAAAATAGATTTTCTAAAACTTATTTTCATGCTTATCGAACCTGAGGCAATTCTGAGTTAACTTCTTTTTTAACCTACAACGTTCTCAAATCTAGTGTTTGTGTGTTTGAAACGCTGGTTGAAAATAGTGCGGGTATTCACATCACTATCGTGCACATTTCTCTATATTCTTGCTTATACAACTGCACGATTTTCGATGCATTTGCCAGACACAATTGAACGATCTACAATAATTTAGAATGAGTGTCTCATGATGCATGAGCATGCTTTAGAGATCTTTAAATGGGCCAAGCACATGTGCTTTTGAGGTTGGTCCATGCTTTTTGAGACCCTTTCATGAATTTTGATGGGGCTTATTTGAGTTCAAAATAACATCACAATTATTTTAAGTTATGGAATTATCCAAGGATTTGAATGCTTATATGTATATTTGAGTCATTGAGATGCATGCAAGATTTCATTTTGAGCATTTAATTCGGTTTTTTGTTCGCTTGTACATTTGGTTTACGAATTTTGTGGCTGGTAAGGAATTCTAGATTTTAGTTTAGCATTTAGGCATTCAACCACTTATGTATTGAATATTCAAGTAGATTCCATAATAAGCTTCGTTGCCTTCAAACAAAAATTCTCACTTTAATCAATTTCAAATGCAATTATAGCTCATATTCTGAGGACAATAAGAGGCAATGTTCGATCTCGTCAAACTAGTTTTTGAGTTCCCTACTATCAAGTTGCGTGCCCTGTTTATTACGTCCAATGCTCAATGCAAAATGAACCTAGTGTTTATGGAGATGGTATTATTGATGCTTGTTGGCAAGCTTGTGACTCTATTACAAGTCCATCGATCTTATAGAAGTGTCTAAATGTTTATGAAATGGTCTTGCTCGCGCTTGTTATCTAGATGTCAAGTCCATTATAGGTTTCGTTCGTGCCCATTAATGAGCTACCAAGCCTCCTATTGCTCAGTTCCATGTTTAAGTCTTGCTCACAAGCAAGTAATAATGTTCATTATAAATGCCTATTCTAAGTCCTTAAATTGCTTGATTTCTATTCAATGCTTCTTATAAAATACTTCAAATATTCACTTTGATTTATTTTGTATTTTGTTTCTTGATGAATTCTTAGTTTATTTTGTATATGTTCGTTCACCTATAAATTTGGCAGCCTCCTAGTGTCCCCTCTGCATAGGAAGCATATTTTGGGAGTGCTAGGCCTTCCCATCCTCCTTTAAGGTGCGCTTGTTCGGTTCTTAACAACATCATAATCATATATCTTCTAAACCATCCACATAGAAAATATTGATAGGACTTTACGTGAAATATAAGATTTCCTTGCTGCATTGGAATAATGCCGGCGAATATTTATATTTTACTATTTTTTTTTCTGTACCATGTTGGAATGTCTTGCACGAGTACCGTAAGCAAGTTTTCCTTTAACATTAGAATAACACACACACAAAGACTTATATTTCTGCATTGTACCTTAAGTGGGTCGGTCAACAATGATTGCGAGGCAAATTTAGCATGGATTTTGAGGTCAAAATAGCAACCTATTTCTTTCTTCTTCTTCTTTTTTTTTCTCACTGTTATATGGTGAGGAAAGAAAAGGGGTTGTGCAGAGAGGATAGAGAGGAGAGTTTGGTTTGTTGTAATGTCGCAACTGGGTTTGGCTGGAATAACACAAGGAAGAGGAAGGTAAAGCTACAGTATTAATTTGAGTAGTTGGGGAAATTGGCCAGGGTTTCTAACAATTTTTTGTCATTGATGAATGCCAACAACAATGTTTCCGTTGAAGAGGAGCTAGTAACAACTGAATCTTGAAGTTGGTTGGAATGGGTACTTGTGGTTTCAACTGCAGTGGGAGATGGAGAAATGGAGAGAAGTGGAAGAGACACTGTAAGTGGTGAGGCTTACAGTATGGAGACAAGAAAAGGGAGGAGGAGGTGAGGAGCTAGACTTTGTGGTGCATCGATTGTAGCATGCAACTAAAGTGGTTCAAGTAGGAAAGGGGAGATTTGAATAAGTATGCAAAGGAGGAGGCAAAGTTTTCTCATAAGAACTAGGGGCAGAGGCTCTGAGACGAAAATGTACACAAGGAGCTGGGCAGTTTGGCCTTGTGGCTGTGAGAGGTGCGAATGGATGCTAGGTGTGCCTATCAAGTAAGAGAATGAGAGAGGGTAGATAGTGGAGGGTGTCTCAATTAGACTTTGTTGCTTCATGCTATCTTGAGGAAGAGGAAGGACGTCTTGGATACTCACTATTCTGAGGAGCATAGGGAAAGTGAGAGTAGACTAATGGGAAGGTGTAACACGAGTCATGAACAGTGGGAGGAGGGTAGCTCGCGTCCAACTACAAGTGCAAGCACAAATAGAGGGTTCGTTAGATGATGGATTTACAGGAGAAAAGAGTGAAAAAGAGAGAGTTAAGTGTTTGGGAATGAATGGTGGAGCGAGCTTGGGGGAGTGATCAAGATAGGAGAAGTCGAGACAAAAGGGGCGTGACGCAAAGTGGAATAGGAAGTGAGCTGTGTAGCATAAATTTTAGGTATTGTTATTATTGTTTTCTTTTGAAATGTTGAGGGGTGATCGGGACTAGATGTGCATGGTAGTTTGAGAGGAGATTTTATTATTATTTCTATTTTTTTATTTTGATTGGGTGAATTCGGGCGCAACATGGGAGAATTATGGATGTGGACGACAAATCAGGAATTTTATTAAGGATTTTATTATATATATAATCTATACCTACTCTTTGCTAGTCTTATTTTTGGTCCATTTCGAGTTCATGTCATTTCATCGATTTGTGTGCCATCTTGAATTTTGTATCAACACACTGAATTTCATGTTGATATTTCGTAAGTGAAACTTGGACAATATGAGTGTTTTTTAGATAATTTTGATTTCATGGACACACTCGTGTAATTCCTTTTGTACTTGGATATAGTTTGAGCAACTTCAATGATTGTAGAAGTGATTTGGGCCTAATTTGGGGAATGTGTTCGTGATTTATTATTTTCATGATGTTCAATTAAGCCAATTGTTGAAAGTCTCTCTCTATATATTTCAAATTTCAAGACGCAATAGCATAATGCATTTTTCAAATGGAGGTTGTTTGGGTAGCCTTAGCGCATTCAAAACAATTTGGCTATTTTTATGCGATAGTGCATCCAGAGTTCATTGTATCCATTAAGGGGTCATTCTTGAGTAATTTTGCTTTTTTAATCAGGATGGCATCCATTTTGCAAATGGATATCATATGGGCAGTTTCAACAACTATTGATACATCTCAATTTTGATTCATATGATGTCTTGCTTGTCATCTGTTGTTTTCATTAGGATTGATTAAATCATTTTGTGAGATGGATATAGAGGTCAATAAATGCCCCCAATAAATATAGTGCATGCCTATAATGGATATGTTTTGTTAATTGATTGTTTTCACAGGTCTAAAAGTTTGCTTAGATATTCTGCTGAGGGTTTTATGTTGCGATCTCTAGGAATATTTTCTGATGTCAATACAAAGTGCAAACTTTGAACATGAGCAAGCAACTTTACAACATTGTAGACTCCCTTTGTTTAATATTACATCTTTAACTTTGAAAATTTTGTTAATGTTAAACTCTTGTTGGAGGAACCCAACTTTAAGGCTATATGTCAAATTTTAATTGCTTTTGCTTGGCTACAATTGCCTATTGAGTTTGATGTGGGTTATCCTTAGTGTGATGCTTCATGCATAATGAACTTCATGAAAATTATTTTGGTTTATCTCTATTGACTTCCTAGAACGTTGAGTTTGCCTTTGGCCCCAATTGCCTTTTTGCTTTAGCAGGCTTAATGAAGGATTTGAGCTGATTTTTTTTTCATCGACTTGTTAGGGAAACTGAGATTTTCTTTGGCTGGCTTGATAACAAGGAATGAGCATATCTTCTACCTTGGCTTCTGCTTTGGTGGACATAATGAAGGGCACATGTCGGAGACCAAGCCTTGGGGCTTTTGTTTGGTTGATGATGCAGAGTTGTCTGCCCAATATTTGCTGCTTTGTCAGACTTTTTGACAAAAGAACTCCCTTAGTTTAGCCTCGGGCTTTATATGAACGTTGGGATGACTTTTTTTATCAGATTTGTTGAAGAAAAAATATTTCATTGGTCTTTTCTTTGTGATTTATTAGACTGGTGAAAGAATGTTCCTTATTTGTTTCCATTGACTTACTAGGAGATTGAGTATACCATTGGCCCTATGTTTTTTCGCTTCAGCTGGTTTGATAAAGGATGCATGCTAATGAACTAAACCCTTCAAGCTTTTATTAGATCAATTGGTTAGCACATTGCGCTTCAACGAACATAGTGACATCAAAATGTTCTTGGGTTAACCTTGAGCTCTTTATGAATACTGGGATAGCTCTCTAGTTTCATGCACTGAGCTTTCGTTAGGCATGAGAAAGAAGAGAGGATAGCTCGGTTTGTGCTTTCTACTTTGTTAGATCTGCTGAAGTAAATTGGTCTTTAAATTTGATAATAATGTCAAGATTGCTTTTATACATCTGTAAGTGATGATATCAAGATTACTTTCATATATCTTTAAGTGATCTTCATTGCCTTTGATTTTGCTTTGATCTATAAATCAATTCAGAAAATTTCTTGGTTCATAGCGACTTGACTTTGTTAAGCTAGATAAACTTGAGTAGAGCAAGCGTTTACATATGATTGACGGATAATGGGGCTCTTTCACCATTGCTTTAGGGGCTGTTTGGCTTGATGTTTGAGTGGTATACTGTAAATTAAGTACATGTATTTTTAAAATTTTTATGCTTGATTTACTGTAAATAAAGTACTTGAAGGATTTATAGGGTAATATGATTTTAGAAAAGAGCAGCTTTTCCGTGTAAACAGAGTGTGCCCAAATCGAGCGAAAATGAATTACACTGCCCTGTTCGATTTCATGGAAGCTCCTCGTCTCCCGCTCCCGCCATTACATTTTACATCTCCGCCTCCCATTTCCTCTCCCGCATTATCTCCCTTCTCCCGTAAGCTTTGTTCGCAGAGTCCCCTTCCTCTCTTGCAAGACTCGTCTCCCGCAGCATTCGTTCGCAGAATCTTCGGCTTCTCCTGCGTCCTTCGTTCATAAGCAACCGACAGACGATTCCAACGGGTAGGCTCTCGATCGGTGCCTTCTTGAAGGCAGGCGAGGCAACCCGACAGACAAGCTCTTGATTGGTGCTCTCCCAAAGCAGGCAAGGCTTCTGACCTTTTTTTGGGTTGCCTTTGGAGGGTGGATCGGGCTTGATACAAATGATTTGTAATTAATTTTAAAATACGAGAGGGAGATTCTCCAGAAGCTTTTGAGGTGAATGGAGCGCCTGCTGTTATGATTAATGGCTTGCCAAAAAATAAGTCACGCAAGAAGAAACCATTACTGAGCTGTGATGCAAGAAGAAACCAGGATGATGATCTCGTTTTTTTGGCAAACTTATTGGAAGGAAGAAAGGTATAAAAAAAGCTATTTGGAGGTCATTATCATCATGGAGAGGTGGTGAAGATATGGTTGATGTTCATTTGTTTTCTCCGGTTTATATATTTAGATTTTATTTTTTTAGCTCACTGTAGGGATTCTTTTGCGTTGATCTCACTGTAAAATTTGTGTTGATAAGATTATATTTTATAGATTTATATCCATAACTCGTCGCAGTAAATCTGTCATAAGAATATGAATTCATATTTTATGTTTCTCTCATTTCGTTCAATTTTTGACACTTTATTCATTTGCTTTATTTTTAGAATGTTTCATTTTATTGCTGAACTACATAGCTGGCTAATTCTTAAATTCAGCCTAATCTTTGGATTGTCGATGTAGAATTGCTTGAATATGTGCATAAACCTTTTAAAGATTAAAAATAAGATCAGATCACTTTGCATAAGATTTTTAAATAATTATTTATCATTTATCATGTATATAAACGATTTTTTTTAAATTTAATATATTTTTTTAAAAAATAAATTTAATTTTAAAATATTATATAAATAAAAATAAATATATTAATATTAAATTTATAATATTATAAAAATTATATAGTTAATTCAATAAAAAGAAAAACTCTGTATTCTATTTACACGCAACCAAAGAGCTGATATATATTCGGAACACAAGTCAGAGTACTCTATAAACAATTTATGTTGTACTTCATTTTTTAGCAAAGTAAGCAGTCCCTTAACATGTTGAGTATGCTAAGTAAGAAGGGCAATCAATGAGTCTTTCATGGGATTATTAGGGGCTCGTTTGAGGAGGTGTTTCGACTCTGTTCTGGTGTAAAAGAAGAGGAGAAAATGGAGATCCCTTGTTTGGATGATAACCTTTGTTGAACTTTCCTTCCACTGCAATGTCGATTTTGGCCGAATTCCAAACGCGAAGATGCCACAACTTTCAGCGCTACATTCTGCATTGGGTATGTAGAAACGTCAGATACAACACCGAGAACCGGTTTCCCCTCATCACGTGAAAGATGACTCCTTTATCAAAGCCTTTTCTTTAAAGGAGAAGAAAAAGCAGTAAATCAGCCAAACTCGCCTTGCCATCTTTGGAAACTCCTCAAAGAAATTCGCCTCCAGCGATCCCTGACCAGAGCTTGCAAGCTTTCGTTGCTCTAGATTACCAAAGAACGAAGCTTCCATCTTCGGATGCACAAGCCCCATATACTTACCTCCGCAAAATTTTTTAAATTATGATTGGCGCTTGAAACATTGTTTTTTATTTACAAATTTCAACTCTATGAAACCAGAGAAGAAATATCAGCGGTCATGCACCAGATCGTCTGCACCGAAACATTGGCACTGGAAATTGGAAAACATTACTCACGAGACATAAGATTGGAATGCAAATATTTGTGATTGGTGTTCCGTTGGCGGCGCAGGTGCAGCTGGAGCACGCCTGTTGTGGCAGTGATATCCCATCCCGGGGATTTCATTTCACGGGCCATGATTTTGACGAAAGAACATATGGATTTGACAGTGGAGCAGACGAGGGTGAGGAAGTGGGTGGGGTTCAGGCCGGAGAGGTAAAGGTCGTCGAGAGTGGTAATGGTCCAGCCTGATCAGAGTTGGGCTTCCAATGCAACAAAATCCATGTGATAGGGTCCAGCCTGATCATATTCAATATTATCTTTTGGATATTTCCATTAACCTATTTTTACAAATAGGAGATTCTGAACTTTTAATTATTTATAATTCAATGAATTTAATCATGATATTTCCTCATTTACTCTTTCCTTTGGAATCTGGGTATTTCGTCTCCTCTTCTTTTTGGATCCCTCTTTGAATAGGTTTTTGATAGCTTGTACTTACTCTAGCTAAATAAAATTATAAAGAGAATTTATATATGTTCATGTGATAAAGCTGCAAGTAATTTTTGGCTTCTTTAACAATTATTCTATCTTCAACATTCTCCAGGATCAACTCAGCTGGTTTCTTAGACATTTTAATTAGCATAGAAAAATGGGTATTTTACAATTGTGACCAGAGGGTTGAAACGTATGAGGTGTTCAAAAGGCTACTAGAGATTTACTGATGAAGAGTGATGTAACTAAGGATTATGAAAAGTTTGATGCTGATGAACAACTTGTGTCTAACTAGATAATTGATTTTTCACTTGTTCGAAACTAAATTAGTTGAGCTAGAAAAAGATGGTTCAATTTGTTTATTAAATGAGCCGAACACAAACTAGAGCTTGTACAATCATGTTTGGCTTGATCAAAGCTTAATATACAAGAAAGTCAAATATATAAATGTATTTATGTATCTTTAAAGAAAGTTCATGTAACTCTATTTTATTATTAACATTCGCCTACTATACTTTTTAAGTTATAGGAATCTTGAAGATATGATTTCTTATAAAATAAAAAACTTTATACTATGCAATTGAAGTTCCAAGTCAAAAGATTGTTAATAAATTTGATGATCAATGACTAGGATTCTTGTTCTTTCTTGACTCAATTAGTGTTATAAAATATCATGTAATTAAAATGAAGCAGTGTTACAGGAGTACTAATCAATAAGTGAATATTTTGAACATTAAATATTAATTTTTATATAACCATGATTGGACTATTTATTCTATGAATTTGAGGGTTGAATAATAAATAAGTAGCTATTAGCCAAGTGTGATAAAAATGAGTTTTATGATTTATTTGTAATCTAAATATGAATAATGAATCGAGAAATGATTATATTTGGGAGAGTGGGAGTAGCTCCTATTGATGATAAAGTCATTAAAAGTGAACTTTAGTGGTTTAGGCTTGTTCAAATGAGTATAGAAATTTACAAGATGCACTATAAGAGGTAATTAGATTAAAGTAATGTGCAAGGTTATGAAAAGAAAAGAGATACTCCAAAAAGTAACACAACGTGGAACTGTAAACTAAATTTTGTTGAATAGTTGTGATAGCTCCTAGGAAAGATAAATGATGTCTTCTTTTTTTTTTTTTTATTGGATAGGTGTTTAATTGGTATATATTACTGTATAATAGTATGGGAAGACTGTAATTTGTTCAGCTTTGGGAACTGAGGAACGATGATAATCGACTCTTCCAAGGGTTCTTTATGATTTTTTTTTTAAATTTGTTTATTTTGGTGCAATGATAGCATTGACAAACATTCTATCGTAATAATTTAGTATAGAGCTTCAAGCTTCACGTCATTTCACATCTTATTCCATTAATTAGACAATACACAGAGATTTCTCCATCGTTGTAACTCTTACTTATGGACATGTTGCACCAATGTTTGCTAGACTTTTCTCCCTCAATCTCTTAATTTTGTTTCTTTACCCCCCATCAAATTTTTTTGTATCACTAAGTTATACTTTATAGAAACTGTTAAGTTCTTGCTTTCTTCAATGGCTGTCAGCACAACACGTTTATTTCACCAGAATACTAAATAAGCATGAGATATGCAAAAATAAAATAAAATATAAGCTCAATCAAAATTCTCTTTGTTATTTTATGTTGGCTAGTCTTCCCCATGTCTTTCCAAAATACATTATATATATATCGATATTTGGTGCCCACTGGATCAAATATCG